TTTGTGATTACTCTTTTTACTACCTCTCGCTGTTACTGACACCCCTGACTTAAAATCGCTTCCACTTCTAATCACTTCCACCTACTAATAACACAATTTACATAATAAAAGTTTAACGAACATTTTTATTACTCTCTCGATTACTTCGAGAGATTATTGACAAAAATATAACTTTGTAGGAGCTCATTTGATATTCCGATTTCTGTTTGGTTATGTAGCTATTATTGAACAAACAACTTTATAGAAACCAACATTTCGTTACCACGTTGATGACTTTGACCTAATTTTGACCATGGCGAGTTTGATTAGTCCTTGGATTAATCCGTGTTACAATTCACCCGACCCTAAATTAACTCAATTAGCTTAGTGGTTACTTTTTATCTTTCCCCGATATATCAGTCACATAATTGAGTTAATATCACCAGTTTTGACACCTTTCAGTAACTAACCTATCCGACTTTATACTGGTCTCACTGACATAATCCTCACTCTCATTATTACTTCGAGCTTTTATACCACCGAGTGATTGTTTCTCAGCTCAGTTACCATTTTGATAACTTTTGTTTATTACTTCCACTCACTACTGACCCGATGGAGGTCGACTCGACCTAATTGACATCATAATTACTCTTAATACTTTGAGTAAATGACAGACTAAGCGAGTTATCATGACCACGAGTCATATTATGATTACTCTTTTGATTACCTCGATTTACTATTGACCCAATGGACTTTAACTCGCCCTATTTGACATGTTGATGGCTAGATTACTTTTATCTAAAATTCAACCAATTGATTTGTTATAAGGTTAACTGATGTTCTGATTAATAGTTTGATTACATCGAATTACTATTTACTCAATAGACTTTATGTCAGCTAATTTACATTGTTGTGCTTCTCTTGATTACTTCGAGGTCTTATATGCTACCAATTCATTTATTATTAGCTCAATTCACAATAATATTACTCTTTTGACTACTAGGGTTACTTTTCACCCATAGACTAGCCTAATTGACATTATGATGATTCTTTTGGTTACTAAGGTAATATTCTAAAACATTATTTATTCGGAGCTCAATTGGCATTGTGATTACTCTTTTTATTCCTTTGAGTTACTATTGACTCAATTAACTTTAATTCGGCTTAATTGGGATTTTGGGGACTCCAAATTACTTTGGGTCCCTATGCCATGCACCAGTTCATCTATTACAAGCTTATTACACATTATTATTACTCTAGTGATTACTTCGAGATACTTTGGACCCAGCTGACTTTAATTCGGCCTAACTGGCATTGTGATGACTGTTTTGATTGCTTTAAGCTAATATTCAACCAATTTAATTATTATTAGCCCAATAAGCCTGATGATGACTTTTAAACTTCGAGTTACTATTGATGCAATAGACTTGAATTCGGCATGATTGACATTTTGGTGATTCTCCTGATTACATGGAGTTATTATATCGCCAGTTGATCTATTACGGGTTCAAATCACTTTAATATTACTCTTGATTACTTTAACTTACTTATGACACAACAGACTTCGGCCTTTACATTTTGATGGCTCTTGATTACTTTGAGCAAATATTCAACCAATTGATTTATTATAAGCCTAGTAGGCATTATGGTTTCTCTTGATTACTTTGAGTTACCTGACCCATCGAACTTTAATTCGGCCACATCTTAGTGACTATATTTCATTACTTCAAGGTATACAACCAACTAAACTATTATGAGCGGAATTCGCAGTAATGTTACTTTTTTATCACTTCGAGTTACTTTTGACTTGATTGATTTTAATGCGGCCTATGTCACATTGTGTTGACTCTTGATTACTTTGTTCTAATATTCAACCATTTAATTTATAATGAGGTACTAGTTGACATTACGATTACTTTTTTTATTATTTTGAGTTACTACTCACCCATTAGACTTTAATTCGGTGTAATTGACATTTTGGTGATTTTCTTGATTACTTCGAGTTATTATACCACCAATTAATCTATCAGCTCAAATCCCATTCTTGATTATTACTCTTTTGATTACTTCGAGTCACTATTGGCCTAATTGACACTGCAATAACGTTTTGATTACTTTGAGCTATTCAACCAACTATGGTCTCGCTACTATTAGCCTAAAGTAAGCAAAAGTGTAACTGAATGCGAATTAGGCCAAATTATAGTTTAATGGGTCAAAATAACTCAAAGTAATCAAAAGTGTAATAAAAATGTGAACTGAGCTCAAAATAGATCGACTGGTGATATAATAACTCTAAGTAATCAGGAGAGTCACTAAAATGTCAATTATGCCAAATTAAAGTCCATGGGGTCAATAGTAAGTCAAAGTAATCAAAATAGTAATCCTCATGTCTGGCTCATAATAAATCCATCGGTTTCACATTAGCTCAAAGTAATCAAAGCAGTGATAACAATGTCAATTAGGCCGAAATAAAGTCAACTGAGTCAATAGTAACTCAAAGTAGTCAAAAGAGTGATCATAATGTCAACAAGTCTTTTAATAAGTCAGTTGGGTGAATATTAGCTCACTAATCAAGTCATCAAAATGTCATGTAGGCCGAATAAAAGTCAATTTGGTCAAATGCAACTTGAAGTAATCAGAATAATCATCGCCATGTCTATTGGGCTCATAATATTGCAATTCATTGAATATTAGCTCAAAGTAATCAAAACGGTCATCACAATGTCAATTAGGCTGAATTAAAGTCAGATGGGTCAAAAATCACTCGAAGTAATCAAAAGAGTAATAATAATGTGAATTGAGCTTGTAATAGATGAGTAGGTGGTATAGGAACCCAAAGTAATCAATAGTGCCCAAAATGCCAATTAGGCCAAATTAAAGTTGACTGGGTCAATAGTAACTCAAAGTAATCAAAAGAGCAATCATAATGTCACCTGAGCTTATAATAAATAATTTGGCTGAATATTTTCTGAAAGTAATCAAAAGAAAAATCTATGGGTCAAAAGTAACTTGTGGTAGTTAAGAGTTATAATATTGTGAATTGAGCTAATCATAGATGAACTATTTGCATAATAACTCGAAGTAATTACAGAGGCGCCAGAACGTCAATAAGCCAACATAAAGCCTATTGAGTAAATAGTAACTCGAAGAAACCGAACTACTAATCACCAGATGAATTAAGTTTATAACATATCAATTGCTGAATATTAGCTGAAAGTAATCAAGTCATCAAGATGTAAATTAGGGCGAATTAAGTCAATTGGGTCAATAGTTACTCGAAGTAACAAAAATAGTAATTATAATGTGACTCGCGGTCATGATAAATCGGTTAGTCTATAATTTACTCAAAGTAATGTCAAGAGTAATTGTGATGTCAATTAGACCGAATCAAACTAGTAATAAAAAAGTGATCAAAATGGTAACTGAGGTAAAAATAAATCACTCGGTTGAATAAAAGCTCAAAGTAATAATTAAAGTGAAGATTATGTCAATTAGACCAATATAAAGTCAGATAGGTCTAGTTACTCAAGGTAACCAACATGTCAATAATGCTGATATAAACTCAGTTGTGCGACTAATATATCCAGGATAGGTAAAAAGTATCCAAGTTAGATGAGTTATAGTAAAGTCAATTGAGTGAATAGTAACGCGGAGTAATCACAGGAGTGATCAAAATCTTAACCAAACTTTTATGTAGTCGCATTTGGCAATTTTATTTCAAATTAATCGACTGAGTAACGAAAATTTTGTTTCTATAAAGTTATTTGTGTCAAAGATACCTGAATAACCAAAAGGTAATCAGAAGGTCAAATGAGCTTTTACAGAGTCACAATTTTGTCAATAATTCCTCAAAGTAATCGAGGGAGTAATCCAAAATGTTTGTGGAACTTTAATCTTGTAATTCGTGCTTTAATGGGTTGAAGTAATTAAAATTGCAAGCCATACCTCCTTAAGCTTTAGATAAAGCCAGAAGTGTCAAAATAGTGTGAAGTAATCAAAAGAGTAATCACGAATTGCAATAAACAATTTGCCATATTACCCAAGCATCAAGGAGAATGCAGGGCTTGGTGTTCCACGTGCCACACGCGCACGCCTTCCCGGTATAAAAGATTCGAAGTAAATAACCAGAATAAAGCGTTGACGAAGGCGCGTGCAAGATGCCTTTTGTTTTAGGTTTTTGCTTTAGAAGATTTACTACTGCTGAGGCCAGTACTTGCAGCCCGTGGAACACCAATCCCTGCATTCTCCTTGATGCGTGGGTAATAGAGCAAAAAGTCTATTGCACTTTTATCATCTGAATTGTATCAATATGTCAAACTAATGAGAAAGGGTCAACAAAAGGTCAATTCAGCTGAATGAAAGTCGAGTGCACCACTAAGAAGAGAGGTTCCCAAAAGAGTAACCAATATATCAATCAAGCTATGTCAATCATGCGACTATATAACTCCAAGTAATCGAAACACTGTTCAAAACATCAGTTGTCCCAAACAAAATCATACTAAACAATTACTTTAGTTATCGAAAGGGTAAGCGAAATGCGACCACTAAAGAAATATAAGCGCATGTATATTGTGGATTAAATTCACCGTCGCCGGGACTAAATTGTGCAGCACAAAGATTAAATTGGAAGGCGTTTGAATTAAATTGGATGGCACTCGGATTAAATTGGGGGAGAGGGGAAAAGGTTACTGTTTGAGCTTGTCACGTGACAGTTTGACGTCGTGGCACGGATTACAGAAAACACCCCTGGATACGCTGCGAAACCCTGCCAACAACAGCTCTCACTGTAATATATGTATATATAAGTAGGGTATATAAAATACAAAAAAAAAAGAAGCTATGTAGTTGTTTATATACGCGTACAGTCTCTAAATGTGTGTGCTTTTTGTTTTGCGGGAGTACTGGTGTTTACGGCGCGTGGGCCGTAGACTCCGCTGTCCGGAAAACGGGTCGCAAACCGCGCTCGTTTCGAGCGGTGAACGGCGACGGCAAGGGACGGCTAGGTGCACGCCAGCGCCTACCTGCGGCTTGGGTTGCTGCAGGGACGCCATGGGCAGGTAGCCGCTGCCGGCCCAGTGTCCGTCCTCGTCGGACCTGACCTGGAAGCAGGCTGGCGGCGGCACCTGGGCCAGCTCGCCGGGGCTCAAGCTCAGCACCAGCGGGCCGCCAGGGCGCTCCTCGTGGGCCCGCAGGGACACGCGGGCCACGTCCCTGCGACGGGACGGACGCCCCTCATTTCACTCCATGTTATTGTGTCGGTGCATCAATTGCCTCGAGCCATCGCCAAAAAAAGTACGGAGAAGGATTTTTTTTTTTCTCTGTTCCGTTTTTATTCATTTACGCGAAAATTAGCAGACGGTTCAAGAGACGGCTTACTCCTGTGTCAGCTAACCCGACGCGAGCCGCACGTCGTCTGTCGACAGAAGAATTCGCCATTTTCTTCTTTCCGCGGTGACACGTTTCAGATTTCTTTCTGAGATGACGTGGCTAAACATTCTGACGAGCTCCAATTAAACACAAAAACAACGAAAGTAAAAAGAACGACTCGATATAGAAATCGATTCGTGTCGGTTCATACGCCCAATGATTAGCACACGCTGTCCAGGAGGCCGCATACGAAGAGCGTTCCTTCGGCGCGGGGCTCACCCGAGCGAGGGCCTCTTGGCGTGCCTGGCGGCCGCCATGTCGGCCAGCAGGTCCGGCGACCCGAGCCCCGCCGAGTTCCTCCGGGGCAGTCCCTGCCGGGCAGCGGGACTCGCGAACGCCGGAGGAGGGCTGATGGACCGGGGGCTGGCGTCGGCCGAGCCGCCGCTGTCCGCCTCCGCGCGCTCTGGCCACAGGGAGAATCCCGCTCAGAACACTTCCCAAACGGTCCGCGTGAGAGAGAAGGACCGAGAGAAGAGCCGACCATGCCGCGGACATGGCATACCTACGCGATGGACGCGCCACGGTCTGAACACTCGGCTAGAAAATGCGAAGAAAGTAGCCATCTAACCAGACGAGACAGTGTGTATAGCCCAGTGGTCAAATGGGCCTCTGGGCCTTATGTGGCGCAACGGTCTAGGACATGAGTCTCCAAACCCCGGCCCGCGGATGTCTTTCGACCGGCCCCCGACTGTACGCGGTCCTTACAAGAATGCTTGTCTAGGTTTATTTATTTAGCGCTTCCTCGTTTATAGTTATATTTTTGTTCTCGGCCATAAAGACCGCGACAGATCCCTAATCCGTCCCCTTAGCCAAAAAGTTTGGAGACTCCTGGTCTAGGATGTCAGGCCGGATTATTAGGCAGAATACAGCTCAACAATCCGCATGAGGCTAAGCCAGGCAAATAGTCTTCTATCGAGACAAGACTGCGGGAACATTTCATGTCCACACCCTACCTGGAACAAGAGCTCACTGATCTACTGCAACTCCGGCCCCAAGTGGAGCAGAGGTCCAGCTAGGGCTAACAGGTAGGACCCTTGGGCCACGTTAGTTCAATGATCAGAAGAAAGACGTGAAACTACACACTGTGCGGATGTCGCGCATCGTACCAAATGCGAGTCAAATGTCCAGTGGTCTACTGGACGCTTGGACCCCAGAGGCCCAGCCCCCAGAGGTAATGGTTCACACCGATGGACAAGAGTGAAGTTATTTAAAAGCTGGCGTGAGAAAGTCAGGAAAATAACCATGTATCATAATAAAGCTACGCGAACATCGCATCTGGGCCCGTTTGCTCGAAGCGCTAACCGCGGCTAAAGTTAGCCGCAGTACCTAGGACAGGGATTTTTAAATCACGTGACTGGCTCGGTAGGGATGCGGGGAAACATGGCGGCGCCCCAGCGAGTGAGCGCCTCCCGCTTTGGAAATAATATGTCGTTGCAGCTGCAATATCGGGCGCGATAGTCAGCAACGAATGGTGCAGGAGGCTTTCGCTTTGCTTTACCTCACTTAAACCGCAAAGCATGGGAAATAACATCGCCGCGTTTTTTAGTTAGTCTTTCGATTCTGGGCATTCCTAGGCCTAAATGAACGCTATAATTGTCGGCATGTCAACGACTTTGGAAAGCGGATTGTTGATAGCACACAAAAGCAGACAGCGTCCCAACATACCTTTTTTCTAAATTATCCAAGCACCGAGGTGCATGCTACGACTGTAGTTGCACGCGTCGCACGTGCTGGCGTCTGCTAGTAACCGTTCTAAAGCAAAAAAGTATAAAACAAATTTTGCCTTGCACCCGCGTTCGTTAAAGCCTTATTATGATTTTTTACTTGGAATCCTTTATAATAGGAAGGCCAGCGCGCGTGGACCGTAGAATTACACTTCCAGCGTTCTCCTCGCGATGCTTGGATAATTTAGAAGAAAGTCTGTTGGGACGCTGTCTGCTTTTGTGTGCTTTCAATACCCGGCCGATTGAGTCAAGGCAATCCGCTTTCCAAAGACGTTGCCATGCCGACAATTATCGCGTTCATTTAGGCTTAAGAATGCCCAGAATCGAAAGACTATCTAAAAATTGCTGCGATGTTATTGCCCATGCTTTGCGGTTTAAGTGAGGTAAAGCAAAGCGAAAGCCTCCTGCACCATTCGTTGCTGACTATCGCGCCCGATATTGCAGCTACAACGACATATTATTTCCAAAGCGAGCGGCGCTCACTCGCTGGGGCGCCGCCATGTTTCCCCGCGTCCCTACCGAGCCAGTCACGTGATTTAAAAATCCCTGTCCTAGGTACTGCGGCTAACTTTAGCCGCGGTTAGTGCTTCGAGCAAACGGGCCCTGGTCCCGTGGCCCACTGTGAACCAGGTTGTATAATGGACAGACGAACTAGGAACAACAGAGTTCGCGAATGCATCTTTCGCCATTGCGTGTAAACAAAGTTCCACGTTTATAAACACGAATACTAGTTCATTCTGAGCATCCCAAACTTGGCTGGAGTGACGAAATCAAAACCGATCTCAGCTTGGGAGAATCGCGGGGACCCCGTCCTCCCAGACGAGGTCAGAGGTTCAGATCGCAGAACCGCCCCAAGCAGGCACTTGAGAGCAGGCAAACGTACCGCGTATCATGTCTCTCGCCTGCTTCGCGATGCCCGTGTTCAGTTCTTCGAGGACATCGGTGGCCCTTCGGCCCTGAGCGTCTCTCAGATCCGGGTCCACACCTGCGGCTCGGGACACAGAAGAGCGCTATCTCAAGCGGAAGCCGAGTCGCCGTGCATCTGGCCCCAGCCCACGTGCCTCCTCGTCCACGTACCGTAGTCAAGCAGCAGTCGCACCACGTCCAACTTGCCGAAAGTCGCCGCTTCGTGCAGGGCGGTACCGCCATCCGTCCGGCAGTTGACGGGAAAACCCCTGTCGGACACGGCAAACACCTCCATCTCGCACAAAACATTCGAGAGTGTCGAAATGACACCGAGAAATTATAGCGCTAACGACACTTCTAGAAAAAGTCAATACAGTGCACGTCAGATATGACAACATCCCAGAGGTGATGACACTGCACCACCCTTTCTATGTACAACTCGAAATGACGGTTAAAGCTACACATCAGGAACTTTATTTGGCGAACATAAACGGTCCCTCAACCTTGCGGTGGTTAGGGTTAACTGGCTGTGTGCGAATCAGGCAAATCAGGCCTGCGCGTTCCACAGCCAGCGCCTCACGTGAGGAGCTCGGAGTGTATGTGTGTGTGTGTGTGGGGGGGGGGGGGGGGGGGGGGGGAAGGGGGGAAGGGGGGTTACCTGTCAAGCAGCAGTCGCACAACCTGTCGGTGCCCGTTCCTGGCGGCCAGGTGCAGGGGCGAGTGGTGCGGCGTGGCCAGCCTCTGCAGCGAGTGCGCCTGGGCACCGGCCAGCAACGACACGCTCTCCAGGCGGCCGTACTGAGCAGCCAGGTCCAGGGGACTCTCCCCGCGCACGTTGCGGAGGCCCGGCTCTGCGCCGTGCGACAGCAACAGGGCCACGGCGTCCGCGTGGCCGTACTGGGCCGCGAAGTGCAGGGCCGTCTCCTGTTCCTGGGGCCCGAAAAGCAACCGCCTCGGCGTCCAGCCACCGACCTCGTTTCGAAGACGAGTCGTCGGAGCGCCGACTCCAGCGAGCGAGCGTCAACAGGGAGTCACCTCAGTCGCTAGGCAAAATGATCATGCAGCTATATTCCGTTTCACCTTATGTGAGACCGCAGCGGACGCTACGAGGCATCCTAGCGAATCCAGCCCTGTGAACGTAGCCATGTGATACTCTCTCCTCCCGTCACTGCGCATCCTCTCCAAGGTCACGAGACACTCACACGGCCTCGCATTGGCTCCAATATAACTCGTAGCATCCGCTGTGGCAGGCCGTAAGGTGAAACGAAGTATAGTTACGACGTTCGAAAAGCGTTTAGTGCCGTCTACAAGCTAATTCCTCAGGCACGTTGTCACGGCGCCGAAAGGCATTTATTTCCAAGCCTCGTTTAGAGACTTTCTATGCAGGAGAAGGTGGTAGAAGCTGTAAAGGAACTTTAAAAAAAAACCTCCATGCGAGAGCCCTCAACAGACTTGCACAAGGTACAAAAAAAGTGTCTAAGCTAAGTTAATGAGTACCAGGTAAGAAAGCAAACCGATAGAGTATACTCTATCTAAATTCTATATTCTAATATGCTGACAAAGCCTGGCAGAATGCCACGATAAGCGGCCGCCGAAATGGAAAAGGTGGAGCGGCAGACAACGGATGAGAGGAGAGTCACGTGACTGGCGTGGTCCCGAACCGCTGTGAACGCTGTCCGCTGACGTCCAGGTTCCCCGAGAATTGGCTCGTTGATGTTCTGTGCTACCCGATCCTCGCGCTCCAAATCTGCGACCGGGCACCCTATGGCTCCGTCGTCGAACTGCCAGGCTTTGTGAGTATAGAGGAGGCTACACGTTACAACCCACTGGATTAGTGTCAACGTGAATGCTGTCCAGCCATGGGAATAACTGCCTCATCCGACCCCCTCTTCCAACATCGGCGAATCATTCCGCATAAGTTACGTTCAAGTCTGGCACAGAGTGTCGGGCCACGTTTCGTTGGGTCACTTGGACCCTTCGGTGTACCCATGGTGAAACGGCGGTTGCCACTCGGAGGCTGTCGGGCCCGGTCCCCTTCCGAGTTCCGTACCGGTAAGTGGGTCGGGTTCTAACCCCGCATTTCGACAAGGTGTCTGCCCCCAGACGGCCCCTCACTCCGGAGGTGTTACGCCAACTGCTCGATCGGGGGCCACGTGCTTTATGAACTGCGTTTGCAATACGAGCTGCTACCAGGTGGTGGCAAAAACGTCGATCGTCTGCAACCGGCTCCGCCTCCCTGCACGATTGTTCCTCCGCCACGCGACAACGCCGCGCATGCGCACTTGCGACCAATCTCCGCGGGAGGCGTCCGCCAGCATTGCAAACGGCAGTGACTATTTCGACTGTAGAGATTACCAAGCAAAGATTAAGTGAATGGTGGCAGAAATCGAGAGAAAACTAGGTATTTTCTTAATCACTGATGGCAAGGGGGTTTCATAGCCTCACTTTCTTTGCACTGCGAAGTGAATATAGATTTCACATTTAAATATTCTAAGCTTAAATGGTAAAACAAAATGGCTAGGTGGCGTAAGCTACCGCCCGATCCAAAGGGCTCAGCCGTATTCATCCATCCATCATCCATCCATCCATCCATCCACCGTCAAAATATCTCAAAATTTATTTCGGCGTCTGTGAAGCCACTTCCGTAAGACGTCAACATAGTGAGTTTATTATTTCGACGTCCCCTCCAATGCAGCAGTCGCAGTGGTAGCCGTTCCGAGGTTTCGTTCTGTTTAGTTTCTGATGATGTTGTCGGTGTCGTGGTGATCGTTTTGACAGATCCACGTATTGCGTGCCTAAGAAGTTTCGGTTTCAGACGTGACACGCCCGGCGGCGATGTTCCGAGCGTTCTGAGCTCGCATGTCACATGCGCCTAACTTCATTTTGTTTAATCTACAACAAAGGCGAGCTGGATATCCCTCTGTCCTGCCTGCACGTAACAAATGTAAGTGAGTACACTACGTAGCACTGAAAAATTCGGCACGCCTTGTGTGCCTCCATATCGTGCAAAGCGCGTCTTCGTGTGGTTGCAGTCTCGCTTTGCATCCGGCTCCCGCCCTGCTTTTAACCGAATTTCGTGAGTTCTTCGTTTAGTTTACATTTTCTGTTTGATTCGTGTATAACGAGCGGGTTAACTACAATGTAAAAACTTCCACGGCGGTCTAGAAAACGACAAAACAGCGGACTGAACAAGCCAAGGCTCGAGCACGACCAGATGAGCACGAGCAGCGGGGGAACGAGCCGGCTACAACCGTTTCTGCCTAGCTTCGATGTCCCTTTTCTGACTGTAAATAGTGTACATAAAGTTGCTATCGATTTAAACACCATAACGTCCAGAAGTTCTTCTATATGGTGCCGAAACCCGGGAACGAGACGCAACGAGAGGAACCTGGACGAGGGAACTACCGAATCTTCAGCAACTAACGCAGGACTACTGATACGTTCCATTCAAGCCACGGCTGACGACTACTCATGGATCGTCTGAAACTGAAACGAAAGGCCCTACGAAGCCAACTGACAAGGCTGATACCAGACATCGACGCTGCTCTTCAACGTGATCCGATCATCGAACGGGACATCGAAATCCTCAGGCAGCGATTGGGTAGTCTGCATACCCAAATGACCGAAACAGATGTCGACATCGAGCCTTTTCTGGGGGACGACGCGGAACAAGAATACACCCGGGCATTCGAGTACAACGACCGCGCCGTCACCTACCTGGCTCAGGTTGGACTACTCAATCCGAACTCTACAACAACGAACCCCAACCGAAACAACAAACCCTGGAAACAGTGCAAGAATTGGAGAACCGACGAGTACCTTAAAGGTAAAGCTTCCCAAACTGGAGCTTCTCAAGTTTAACGGCCAACAACGACAATGGCAACCGTTTTGGGAGCAATTTCAGCAAGCGGTTCATCACAACGAGGCACTAACAGCTTGCGACAAGTTCAATTACTTGAGAACTTCGCTAACGGGAGAAGCCGCTGCAGCCATCGTCGGACTCCCATCAACGTCCATCTGCTACAAGGATGCAGTAGACATCCTTATTAGCCGATTCGGCAACGAGAAACGGCTCATACAAGATCATATGGAAAAGCTACTTGACCTTAACCCGGTACCTTCTGCACAAGACGTACGTGGGCTTCGAGGTCTTTACGATAATGTGCAGGCCCATGTACGTGGACTCAAGTCTTTCGGGGTGAGTGAAGAATCTTACTCTTCGATGCTACATCATCTCCTCGTGAGGCTCCTTCCTTCAGAGATAATGCTTCACTATAACAGAGAGGCGATTCGACAAGAAGGTAACGCCCAAGAACAAAATGAGGAAGGAGCGCGAGCGCGAGTTCCTAGAGAACAGCCTGCAGCGCTAACATCGTTACTCCAAGCCTTGAAGGTAGAAATCGAAAGTCGAGAACAAACGTATACTCCTGCGAGATTGGAGCACCCTCTGACAAAAAAGACGAATGCACTGGCAGGAGGTAAAAGGTATCCTGATAAGCAGAACAATTTTAAACCATCATCGTCTGCACTACTTCAACAAACGGATCTCAGAACACCGTGCTTCATTTGCAAATCTAAAGAACACAAGACGGAAGAGTGCACCTCCACAGTTTCGCTGGAACAAAAGAAGACGATGCTACAGAAACACGGCAGGTGTTTCCGCTGCACCCTTGTGAACCACATGTCTAAGAACTGCCGAAGAAGAATCACATGTAGGCACTGCCGAGGCCGACACGCTTCCACGATGTGCGACCCCAAATTTAAGAACGGCGGACAAAAGAATGTCGCTAGCACAGCTCCGTTACAGCTAAAATCAACGACTGAGACTTCGGACCAAAGGATAGTGCTGTTACAAACGGCCGAAGCGTGGGCTTCTGGAACCAAAAACAAAGCGATGGCGAGAGTATTGTTTGACGGCGGTAGCCAGAGATCCTTTATAACCGAAGACTTATCTCGGAGACTGGGCTGCAAAGTTGTGGGAAGCGAACGACTTGCAGTAGGGTATTTCGGTGGACATAACCAGGAGAAGAACTTTCGAAGGGTCTTGATTACTCTGCAAAGCAAACACGATGGACATACTTACCACCTTGAGGCTCTTGAAACTAGCATAATTTGCGATCAACGACTGCCAGAACCGGATAACAACGTCATACAGGAGCTACGTCAGCTGAATTATGCGATCGCGGTTATCGCTAACGACGACAATTCCAACCATATTGACATTTTAATAGGCGCTGAACATTATTGGGATTTTGTAACTGGACAAGTCACGAAACTCAACGGCAATATCAAGGCCATCGAGACGTCGTTCGGATGGACTGTGCACGGTCCCATGAGCCTAAGCTCCACGGTGTTACAACACTCCCAAACGGTCGCACTCAAGACGTCAGCGATAACGCGGAACACCGAAAACATTCTACGAAAATTCTGGGATCTGGAAGCTATAGGAGTCAAGCAAGACGAATGCGATAATTCGAACAACTCCGTACTAACGTCCTTCGAAGAAACGATAACGAGCAACGGAGAACGTTACGAGGTATCCCTTCCTTGGAAGCCTTTGGTACACCTACAGAACAATAAGGAAGGTGCTGAAAAACGACTGATGCAGCTCACCAGAAGGCTCAGACGTAATGAAAATATCCTGTCTGCGTATGACTCAGTCATAAGAAAATATGAAAAAGAGAGTATGGCCGAGAAAGTAGAAAGCGAAGACAGTGACGGTGTCACCTACTACATGCCACATCAAGCAGTAGTCAAGGAAAGTCGAACAACCAAGCTCCGCGTAGTTTTTGATGCTTCTTCGCACGGCCATCGATCGAAGTCCTTAAATGAAAACCTAGAGAGCGGCCCAAATCTGAATGCTGACTTAGTGGGGCTACTTCTAAACTTCAGGACACATAAAATTGCTCTCGTCGCGGATATCGAGAAGGCATTCCTACAGATTTCCATCAACTGCAAGGACAGAGATGCCTTGCGTTTCCTGTGGTTTGAAAGCAAGCCAGAGGCAGAACATCCACTTCCGAAAATCGAAATCTGGAGAATGACGAGAGTCCCCTTTGGCACGACGTCGAGTCCCTTTCTTCTAGCAGCGACAGTCCAACATCACCTGAGACTCATGAACCCACAGTACCCTGAAACCACTGAGAAACTTCTGAAATCGATCTACGTTGATGACATATTAACGGGTGCGGACAACGAAGAACAAGCTCTACAGATCTACTCCGAGACGAATGAAATTTTTAACCTCGCCTCCATGAAACTACACAAGTGGTCGTCCAACTCTCCAGAAGTTTTAAAGAAAATCAACGAAGACCAGGGTCAGCAGGTATCGCTAGGAGAGTTGCCAGGTATCGTAAAGGTACTTGGACTCACGTGGACACCAAGCTCCGACGTATTGTCATTTACGTCGGACAACGTCGTCAACTTTTCTCAAAACCGAACAGACACCAAGCGAGCCGTATTACAGACAACGGCAAGAATTTAGGACCCGCTTGGGATGCTGGTACCCTTCACTATACTTGCAAAACTTTGTTTCCAACGACTCTGGCGTATGAACATCGATTGGGACAGCCCGTTGACCGACGATATACTAGAAGAGTGGAATCGATGGTGTGAAGGACTTCCCCTTCTGGGTCAAGTGGCTGTACCACGGTTCTACAGAAATCAAATGACTGAAACAGCACAAGGAACGGTACTACACATTTTCGCGGATGCCAGCACTGTGGCGTATGGTGCTGTAGCATACCTGTGCACAACGGACATATCAGGTGAAACATGTTCAACCTTTATGTTCTGCAAATCACGAGTGGCTCCACTGAAAAAGGTAACCTTGGCAAGACTAGAGCTCTTGGCTTGCCTCGTGGCTGCAAGAATCTATGATCACATCAGAACTCACTTTCAAGAGAAATGGAAGGAGACACATTTTTGGACGGATTCCATGATTGCGTTGTGCTGGATCCTTGGAGACGCCAACAGATGGAAGCAGTTTGTTCAGAACCGAGTGCGCGAGATCCAAGCTATAACAAACCAAAACTGGAGACACTGTCCTGGAAAGGGAAATCCAGCGGATCTCATCACACGGGGAATATCTGCCGAGCAACTAATTACCAATCAGCTATGGTGGAAAGGACCCACCTGGATTACAATGAATGAAGCAACGTGGCCCCCGAGGACGATACCAAAGGAAGAATTCCCTTGTGAGTTGGAAGAGAAAAAAGCTGCGAACGTCTTGCAAACTGTAACACCAATTGAACCGGCCATACTAGATGAAAACCACTACAGTTCAATTCAGCGACTTCACCGAACTACAGCCTGGATCCTCAGGTTCACTCGCAAGCTGAGACACAAGAGTGACCGAAAAGGACCGCTGACTACAGATGAAATTCACGAAGCCGAGCTGTATTGGATTCGAAGAGTACAACGGGCATCATTCCAACAAGAAATTAAGTGCACGCAGCGAGCTCAAAAACTACCTATGGAATCAAAACTGAAGGACGTTCCTTTGTTCGTCGATCAGGAGGGCCTGCTACGCGCTACTGGTCGACTACAACACAGCAACGCATCTTATAGCGAGCGACATCCAATTGTTCTACCAAAAGAACACCGATACTGTCGGCTTATCGTGCTTCAAGAACACCAAAGACTCCTCCACGCCGGAGTGCATGATACTCTTGTACAACTCAGAGAACGCTACTGGATTATCTCTGGTCGACAGTTGGTGAGACGGGTGATCAAAGAGTGCGTTATCTGCCAACGTTACAATTCAAGAGCAGCTTCTGAAGTCACCGCACCGTTACCTCTCGATCGCGTAACAAAGGCCAATCCATTTGAGGTGACTGGGATTGACTTCGCAGGCCCCCTCTTCGTCAAAAGCAAGCCGAACTCACAGAAAGCTTATATAACCTTATTCACTTGCGCCGTGACCAGAGCAGTACACCTGGAACTCGTAGAAGACATGACCGCAACATTCTTCCTACACGCCTTTCGACGATTTATATCAAGGAGAGGCATCCCACAAATAATTTATACGGACAATGCCTTAACATTCAAAAGAAGTAAGAAGGAACTGCACAAACTGTGGAACATTATTAGAGACGAAGAAGTCACGAATCAAGTGAGTTCCTTCAAGATTCACTGGAAATTCATCGTCGAACGGGCTCCATGGTGGGGAGGGTTTTACGAACGACTTGTCCGCTCGGTCAAGCTGTCGCTGAAAAAAGCCCTTGGCTGCAGGAGTCTAACCTCCGATGAACTCTAACAGCACTGACAGAAGTAGAGGCTGTTATAAATTCACGACCCCTCACCTACGTCTACAACGACATAGGAGAACCAGAGGCATTGTCGCCAGCCAATTTCCTCACGGGAAAACGACCGACATCTTTTCCCACACTTGGACTTACAGAGGTTACCCACACTTCTGCAGATCAACTTCTTCAAATGTGGAAACACCGCGAAGAGGTTCTGGACAGATTCTGGAAAAGGTGGTCAACAGAATACTTACTGGAAACTAGAAATATGCAAAGAACCATCACCTCGAAGACGCACAACATAAAAGTCGGAGACCTTGTCCTAATCAAAGACAACTTACTACCGAGACAGCGATGGCAGATGGGAACGGTTGAAGACGTTTCTATCGGAAGAGACGGAAAAATACGATCTGGTACCATCAGATTACCCGGCAGAGTATTTGTAAAAAGACCCATTCAACTGCTTTTTCCTTTAGAAGTTTCTACCAAGTAAGAGTAAAATGAACAAAGTTCATTTTGGGGGCAGTGTGTAAAAACTTCCACGGCGGTCTAGAAAACGACAAAACAGCGGACTGAACAAGCCAAGGCTCGAGCACGACCAGATGAGCACGAGCAGCGGGGGAACGAGCCGGCTACAACCGTTTCTGCCTAGCTTCGATGTCCCTTTTCTGACTGTAAATAGTGTACATAAAGTTGCTATCGATTTAAACACCATAACGTCCAGAAGTTCTTCTATATACAAAACGACGGGGATGTCAAATAAAAGGTCGTGAATGTAAACATTACCTCCTTGATATTTCTTGGCAGGTGCGAGGGAACAAAGGTCCTTGCGCGGTTGTACGAGCTACACGCATTTTCCAATCAACTGCAAATGTTATAACATGGCTTTCAGCTCCTTTGTCTAAATAAAACGCGCAAAATAAATCGTGAAGAGCAACGGTACCGCATTCTGCGATGTGTGTGGGGCACAACCAAGCAAACGCTACGTGCAGCGTGAAAGCTGATGTAACCTTAAGAAGTTTTTTTTTTTTTATTTTTTATTCTACATTGTTTAAAAGGTTATAAGAAGTGCTGTTCACTGCACATTTGTTTTCTAAAAATGCCTGTTGAACACCGACGCTACTTCACTGCCACTTTCGATCACTTTCCGGTCCGAACTCCAAAGCTCTAAAGTGGACGTAGAAACAGTCACTACGCAAGCCCCCTCCCTCCCTCCCCTCCCCTCCCCTCCCCCCATGGTGTGAGATGGACCTTCAATTCAATCTAGGCTCTCTAGATGTACGAAGTGAACAGCATGGACGAGTGTACGCAGACGACGTCGCAGCCGTAGCGATGACGTTGCGCCGAACGTAACCCCAGGAGACACGAGCTCAAGACCACCCGATGACGCGAACCATTCAAGTTTCGCCGCCTAGAAACCGGGCCACACAGCCGACTCGGTCCGATCAACGCCGTGTCCCCCGACGGTTTCCGAAACCAGCGTCATGGCCGCCGGATGTGGCAATGCCATTTGGAAGGCGAGGCCCGCCCGTGACGTCATCGTTAGTGGATCCCCGACCCGCCCCAAGCAGCAAACACGCCAAAGCTCGACGAGAGAACGCGTCCGTCTCCGCGTCGCCGCCTGCTAGCGTCGCACTCGTTGTGAGACGCTGCGAAGCGCGCTGGCGGCGACGCTGACGCGAGCTATAGGCGGCACTGCGTGGATCCACTAGTGACGACGTCATAGGGAGAGAGGCCTTGTCTTCCAGGTGGCCGTGGTCGCCGACAGAGGGCGGATAGACCTTCGCAAAAATCGCCTTCTGCGCGCTGCCATCTTTGTCTGCTGGGCTGTGGAACGCCTTCTGAGCATGTGCCGTAGCTTTGTTGCGCGGCATATCAAACACTGCACATGCTTCCACAGTTCAGTGACTCGGCAGTTTTTCCCGGGTGATAAGCAATGGAAAGGTCTATACCTGGTTGGAGTGGTTGGCGTTGGCCAGCGACGGGCCCCTTTCGAGCAGCAGGCGCACCACGTCCGTGTTGCCGGTCCAGGCGGCCAGGTGGAGCGGCGTAGAGCCCTGGCCGTCCACCACGTTGGCCGACGCCTCGTGGTCGAGCAGGAGGGCCACGATTTCCGGGTGCCCGTTGAGCGCCGAGTGGTGCAGCGACGTGTAGCCGCTCTGGTCGTGCGCATTTGTGCCCGGACCGCGCCGCAGGCTGAAAGCCGCCCAAAGGCAACGGAGCAGATGGACTCCCGTTCTCCCCTTTCATCTGACGATACCGTTCAGCTCTTCCCGAATGCGGGACAGTTGAGGCTGGTTCCCACACTTGCGAAGGACCGTGTGCCTTAAAACCTCTTGCGACGAGAGCAGACACACTGGCGATATCCATCGGGCTAGCCGTGGAGTTTCCGTATATTTCCTATTTTGTTGCCGCATCATTCTTTCTTGGCTTCGAAAACCTCTTGAAAATGTTAGAAACGACCATTTGTCATAGACGTACGTCTGATCTCGCAAATATGGCAAAATCGTCGGTCTAGTGAAATGTAGTTCCAGGGCCACCTCATAGATGGCGCCAGCGTGCCAGTGTGCTCCCGCGTCGTAAGACATCACAAGAGCTTGGTCCTAGGCAGTGGTGTCCTGAAGGAAGGGCGAGGGAGGGGGGGGGGGGGCTTATGGTACCTCGGCTCTCCCCCCCCCCCCTAAAATCCAGCCCACCCTGTAGTATACACATGCATTTCGAGCCCCCCCCCCCCCCCCCCCCAAACACACACACACTTCCCCAAAAACTTTCTGATTACGCCCCCGAGAAGTTCGCCTGGCGCCCCCTTTCGGCGAACCGGGGTGACGTCACGGCGAGGAGAGAATTTTTCCTCGACTCGCCCCGCTCGCCCTGTGGACGCTGTGACGACGCTAGCTGTCGGCGCGCTCGTTTCTATTTAATTTTTTTTGGCGTGCTTTTCGTAGGAAGTGTAAATTTTTATATACGCCTTTATTGAGGTATGGCCTGTAGCTACAGGCGAAACTTCAACGAACATTTTAAGCATGGCTGACAGGCCAGGCAACGCATGAACCACAGCTGGCATGTGAAAATAAAGAAATATGGCCACAATTGCAGGGGCATCACTACAGATTTACATCTCGCACAATAAACGCTGCTGATGGTTCGAATGAATTGGCAGGTTATGTATACTCTTTTTTTTTTGTATCTCTGTCTTTAAACAAGATCGCCGAAGCAGAAAAGCTGCATGCTGCTCGAGCAACGTGCTAAATACAGTCTCGGCCATGGGGAGAGAATCACAAGTAAGACAGCCCAAGTGCAGGGGCAAAGTAAAAAAAACAAACAAGGAACATTTATTATATACATTGCTCGCACTTGACCTTTGCTGGATTCGGATAGTATTTCAATGGACTACACGGGTGGTATCTGTGGACTTGTTTATATCAATCCTCAAGTAATATACAACAAACGTAAGTTAAGGTGTCTAGCTCGTTATTAGTCCATTAAGCCCTAAAATTTAGATTTTACTTAAATCGAATTGTCCTAAGCTAAAGTACCAGAAGCTTTTCTCACGCAGACTGTCACCCTTCACAGGTTCCAAATTTTCTGCTACCAATGCTGCATCTACCACTGGACAGACGTTCGAATGCTTGCTTTTACTCCTGTTTTCCTCTGTTGTCAGAGAGTCCAGTTGCAGGGAGTTTGGAGGCTGAGGAAGCTTTTGGGGACCTGCGGCAGTGACTCTTAAATGGAAATGACAATTCAGACTTAACGGTGTATTTTCAGAATACCAAAGGCTGGAATAAAGAATGTCAGGAAAAAGTATAAACATTCCAAATTACGGCACTATTGCTGTGCATATTTTGGGCAGTTTACTGCATATCATAGAGGCAACTGGGGAAATTCGGCCGTTTTTGCTGCTACCATACAAACTAATTTCCAGTAATTGTGAATCCTCTAAGAAATATGCCTGCATACGCGTATAAACTATATAATTAATTCAGGAAGAAGCTACATTTATGTAAAACAACCCTGTTTCATGAGCACTTCAAAGATCATCAGACGCAGGGCCTTTAAAACATCTGCAAACCAGCGCATGCAGAGTGGCAGCGCAGAGTCGGGGTCGCGAGCTAATTTGCCGACCACCGAAAGGCCCATGATATAAAGGCGGCTTCAGATGCCTTGAAAGCGGGATGTAATATCGTCCTAAATCATGAACATGCAAGGAACAGAATTCCAGCGTCTGAAACACTTTCGTCACCGCTTCACCGACCCCTCTCAACATTGCCTTGCGTCGTGTGGACAGACGGGGAGGTTCATCGGCGTAATTGCCTCCGCCGATAGTTTTCGGGATTTGTAACCCAATTTTAAAGGTAAAAGGGACAAGCAGGCTTATAAAATGTACGGAAGCACGTTAATATCGGCCTAATTTAACGTCTTGTACACCGGGTAAACGAAGTCCGGCTCCTCGAAGAGCTTGCGGCACACAACGCCAAACCAGGAAACTGGTGCTGGGAAGCGACCCGATGCGAGATCGCGGAGCGGGGTACTCGGCCTGACGTCACGGTACACCTCACCCAATCAGGGCGCGGCGACCGCAGCGACGCTTGTGTTCGCTCTCGGGGCTAATAGGGTGTCATAAGGAAACGCAAGTGCGTGAACAGGCCGCTTCGCGAAGAAATGGATTCTCCGGATGCGAGGTGTTATTAAAGGGGTAGTGCAACGATTTTAACATTCAAAGAATTGGCAGTTTGGAATATTTATATTGTTTATCCAAGCACAACTGACCAAAAAAGCGTCGCCCTGCCCCGATAAACTGCTACTCCGCTACGTGATCGCAAAAAAGAAAAAAAAAAAAAGAAACGAAATATTTGCCGATCTGCAGCCGTGTGGCGCGTGTGGCGGTTATCGGAACTACGGAGACAGCCTCTCTGGGGGATACGCGGAAGTCAACAAACCCTGTTCCCCGCCGTCAGCCCCGTGGCGAGCCGTCTTTTCTGTCGTTGCGAACCCTTCGAACCTCTCGGTTCGATCTTGGAACCTCAGGTTCGCAAAAAAAAGTTCGCGGTATCTCTACTCTCAACTCTCCACGTCGCCTTTCGAGGGACGTAGTTTCGAAACGTCCAACTTATTACATAAAACATGCCACGATTTTCGACCTTTCGAATTTTTGGCGCTGAGAAATTCAATTGTTTTCGAACTTACGATTGTTCGCGCTATGAAATTCGACATTTTCGAACTTATATTCCGCTAACAAATTCGACAATTTTCGAACTTTCGTACCTGTTGAGTTCTACAGTTCGACGAACTTCGAACTTATGAACGAACGTTCGACGAAGTTCGAACCAGGTTCACCCCAATAGGTTCGAGGCAACAAATATAAACAACACGAGGTGTCAATGTGTGAAGTGGAGTTGAAATTGCACTCAGAGTCTTGCCGTTAGATAATCGCGCTATAAATGACGCACTTGTAAAGCAATCGTCGAAGAAGAAAAGTTCCCGGAGGCGTCAATCTGGTTAGCCCGATAACAACCGGTCGCGACCTGATCAGCTGTATTGAGCCCGCGGGAGGTCCCCTGATTTAGTCTGGTTGGATTTTCTCCTCAACCCTGACTTGTGTCGGGTGATGAACCTGTGTTCAGTGTTTTCTCCCTTCCACGGGTCACCCTGCCGAAAATAAACGCTCAGAGCAACTAAAATTTCTTTGGAAAGCCTGGATGCCTTTATGTGAACGCGTTCTCCTGCATATTTAGTTGTCTTACGCCAGTGTTGCATTTAGGCGACGTTTAATCAGATTACTATACTTGTTTGCAAATAAGTAGGAAGTACGTCCACCTGACTGCCTTAGGGCTTTTCGATGAGCCGTTCGACCAGTTTTGGAAGATTTGTGTTTGTCCTTTGTCCCTCTTGTTCCCCTTCTCCAAGGATTATTTCCGTTATCCTTGTCCTGCTTGTTTGCACCTTGCATTTAATTGCATTAGAATCACAACCAATTCAACGCCTGTATTATAATTTACGACAATTAAGCAGAAATACAGGTAGTACGGTCAGTACCACAGCTAGCACTCCGACTGCGAAGGGAAAAGTATGAAAGAAACAAAATGTGAATGCGCAAGTGAGCTGGTGCAAGTTCATAATATAGTCTCGGGTAATTTTACAATTTTGAAGGAGTATACTCACGGCCTAAGAAAAATGGCCAACGTTTTTAGTAAAAAATGTAGCACATTTCGCGATATATATATATATATATATATATATATATATTATGAATTTATAAAAACTTAGTTTGAAACTGCGGAATTTAGTTTCCACTCGTGAAATTCAGGCTAGGTGACTTAAAATCGAAACTTTCAACCTTTTCAAACTTTTACTTTGAAAAATTCGAAATATTCGTATTTTTCGACCCTGAATCTTCAAATATTTCTAACTCTCTGTAAAATAACAATAATAATAATAATAATAATAAATAAAAAAATTGATATTTTTGAACTTAAACTTTCAGAAACCTTAACATTTTCGAATTATTCGAATTTAAACCTCAGCGGCGTTCTAAAGTTGCGACCTCTACGAATTCGAACCTTTGAGAGGTTCGAAAATGTTCGAACCTTTTGAACCCCAGCTTCGGGAGGTTCGCGGCATCCCTAGTTGAGAGACACATTAACCATCGATTTGTTCCTTTTTTTTTTTTTTTTTTTTTAATAAAAATTAGCGCTCGCAAGAAAATACGAGATCAAATAGTAAGGCGAGCTGGTAAATGTTAACCATGTTGAGTAAACCTGTCCTGTCCCTTTCTGTTCCTTCGACTTTTATGTTCATTTTTGCCCCAGTCTCAGGTTTATTCAACATGGTTCAGAAAATACGGTTTTCTGTTCTTCGTTCCACAGGTGACACAGATTAATTTCCGCAGTTAATTGGCGACAGTCCGAAAGTCGTTGCACCGCCACTTTAAGGACAACTAGCCGAGAAATCCCGGCTATGTTTCCTTACTCAGAACGAGGCATTGTTGACTGTATCCGCATAAAAAAATAATAATAATAATAAAGTAGAAAACAGGAGCGATTATTTGACCCACGTACTTGGCTCGCAGCGTTTGTCAGGCCGCCGGCGTCGGCGGTGATAATGCTCGACACCGGAAAAAAACCGAAAGCATTGTCTCCATGCATGTCTAACGCTCAAAATAAAACAAAACAAAACAAAAATCACGAAAAAAAAAAAAC